AATAACGAATTACCACTAAGAATCCCGCAGAAATAAATTACGAAATCAGTAGGTTATTTGTTAGATCAGATTTTTTGGTGACTTTTACGTGTGTTTCTAATCTTTATTTAAATAGATTTAATATAGTTTTGATTTTAAGAAAGAGCGGGTATTTTGACGCAGAGTATTGTTTTGCTTAGCAGTATGAATTGTCAACGTATATACTTACTTATTTTGGTTAGAATTCCCAGCAAATGTTATGTAAACTTTGACCTCCGAATAAATTATCCAAAGATATTTGTTTATTCAGTATATAAAAAATAACTAATGTTCATGTTTAGGTTATTTAAAACTAGTAAGTGTTTTGATATATTAAAATATTTTATAAAGTTAATTTTGAAAATCATTTGTGATTTAAAAAAAACATATACATACACATAGCTTATAAAGTCTGCGTTCACCCGACACATTTTCTTAAGTGAAGTAAAAACACAATGTAAATAGGTAAATCAGTTAAAATTTTTTGCATGTATTTCTTCTTTATATTCTTAAGTTCAAAATGCAAAAACAAAAATGTATATTCCTATTTTCATTTTTGAGATAACGGGATTTTAGTGTAATAACGAGTAAATATAGGCACCAGAAAGTCTGCGTTCAGTTAGCCTGAATTAGAAATACCGTTATTTCTCATGAATGTTCCTTCTTTTTGCGTAGATTCTATTGTGTTTTAATATAATAAGTCGTTTAAAGAGCTCGTGACGCGTTTTAATAATATTTAAAAAATTGGAATCCAAAGGAAAAGAAATTAGTCTGTCGGAAAGAAAAATTATCATTAAGTTGTGGAAAGATGGCGAAAGTTTCAGAAAAATTGGACAAACTATTGGAAGAACGTATACTTCTGTCCAGCGCGTCGTGAACAATTTAAAAAAAAAACAAGTAAGGAAGGGCTAAGTTCGGATGTAACCGAACATTTTATACTCTCGCAAAGTCAAATGGTATACTCGTTTGAGATTTCTTTGTGGATTGACTGATATTTTCGGTAGAAGGTCAACTATAGGCACTAGGGTCCACATATTTAGTACTTAGGGGTTTGAACAGTTTTGGTTCGATTTAGACAATTTTTGGCCGCAAGGTGGCATACTTTAATTGCATTATTCACGCAAAGTTTTACCCCGATATAATCATTGTTACCTGATTTGCATAGTGGAATAATGTGAAAGAATCAGATGGAATTTAAAATGGTGTTATATGGAAAGTAGGCGTGGTTGTAGTCCGATTTCGCTCATTTTCGCACTATGACATAGAAACATAAAAAGAACGTGATGCACCGAATTTGGTTGAAATCGGTTGAGCAGATCTCAAGATATGGGTTTTCACCTAAAAGTGGGCTGTGCCACGCCCACTGACTAATTTTGAACGCGGTTCCTATAAAGCCAATTTATACCATCTCAGAGATAAAATTGAATGTCTCTGGCGTGTTTAGTGCTTGATTTATCGCGCTTTTAGTAGTTTTTAACAGTACCGTTATATGGGGAGTGGGCGGAGTTGCCACCCGATTTCAACTATTTTCACACCGTCAATAGAAGTGCTAAAAACATTTGCTTCCAGTGAATTTTGTTATTATAGCATTAGCGGTTTAGGAGATATGCACATTAAACCTATTAGAGGCGGGACCACGCCCACTTTTTAAAAAAAAATTTTAACTGCAGATGCCCCTCCCTAATGTGATCCTGTGTACCAAATAACAGTCTTGTATCTTATTGCCGAGCTTAGTTATGGCAAGTTATTTGTTTTTGATTAATGGCGTTTTGTGGGCGTGGCAGTGGTCCGATTACGCCCATCTGCAATACCAACCGTCTCACGGTACCATGAAACATGTCTACCAAGTTTCATAAAGATATCTCAATTTTTACTCAAGTTAGAGCTTGCACGGACGGACGGACAGACGGACAGACAGTCACCCGGATTTCAACTCGTCTCTTCATCCTGATCATTTATATATATATAACCCTATATCTAACTCGATTAATTTTAGGTGATACAAACAACCGTTAGGTGAACAAAACTATTATACTCTGTAGCAACAGGTTGCGAGAGTATAATAACGGAATTTTAACGTCAAAACCGCGATCTGGCAGGTCAAAGTCTAACTGTTTCCGCAGTATGCTTAGGGTCATTATCTTGTTGGAACCAAAACGTCGAAGATAATCTAAGATTCTCTGCACTTTGTTTCAAATTGTTTTTTAAAAGGTTCAAATATCACTTATCCATTGTGGATTCAATAAATTCAAGCTGACCCACACCACTAGCCGCCATGCAACCCCACTCCATTATTCCGTCACCTCAGTGTTTAACTGTACCAACAAGATTTTGCTCATAATTACATAAATACATACAGTGTATCACAAAAATAAGTATGCACTATGTATGGGCGTAAAAAAATTCATATCAATTGCAAAATAAAAATAAAACTTTTCGTGTTTTTTACAATAACAATTACACATAACATCGCCATCTTGAGTATGATAGATCGATGTCATTCACATTTCCCGTTATTAAGAACCGTTGGATTTTCTCAGTAAAAACCAATAAATCATGTCACATAAGTATGTATGCAATTCACCATTTCAGTATGTTTTCGGCTGGCACACAGTATTCGTCCCCTTCAAAATCAATAAATAATTATTTTTTGTTTAAGATATAAAGATTTCCAAGTTTTAATAATCTTTCAACCGTAAATTAATTTAAATTTTGATCATGGCGCCGCGCCGAAGAGAACTATCATAAGATTTAAAAGATGTTATAATAAAACTACATAAAGGAAAAAAAAGTCAGAGGCAAATTGGAAAAACAAACAAAAGTAGTTCTACTATTCAAAAAATAATAGAAAAATATAAAAAAAAGAGGGAAATGCACATAATAAGGAAAGATCTGGGCTGCTTATATTTGACGCAAACGAGCGGCGTATTATAATACGCAAGATACAGGTGAACACAAAAAGAGTGCACCAAAAGTGAGTACAGAGATTGAAAACGAGATTGGTAAAACCTGCAATCCCCAAACTATTCGTCGAGTACTGTATGATGCTGATAAATACAATATTTTTGGTTTGGATGGACATGAAAAAGTTTGGAGAAAAGTGAATACTGAGCTTGATGCACGGAATATGACTGCCACGGTAAAAAATGTTGGTGGGTTGCTCATGGTGTGGGGATGTATGGCAGCATCTGGAGTAGATAATCTTGTGTTCATTGAGCATACAATGAACAAATATGATTACCTTAACATTTTGAAAGCAAATTTGAGCGAAAGTTCGGCTAGATTGGGGCTTGAAGGATCATTTGTATTCCAACACGACAATGATCCCAAACACACCGCTCGCATTGTTAAGGAATGGCTTATTTACAAAACACCCAAACAATTGAAAACACCAGCCCAATCTCCTGATGTCAACCCTGTCGAGCAAAGAATCTTTGAAAGCTGCGTTAATCGAAGGATGGAGCAAGATTCCACCTTCAGTAACCCAAAAGCTGGTGAAGTCCATGCCATCCAGGTTGAGTGCAATTAAAAAATCCAAAGGCTATCCAACGAAATATTAACCGTCCATCAAAGCTCAAAAATAAATCCGTTAGAATTTTTTTTTTCGCAATTTTTTTTTGGTGCATACATACTTTAGTGACGTAATTTTAAACTATTAGAACATTCATTTCTGTAATTAGAAACATTTTTACTTTAAGCTTGGGTTTTTAGTTTTTGGAGACATATAAATATATGAAATAATTGAAAATATAAAAAAAAATTGGTTAATAATATTAGTGTTAAGACTATTTTTTGCAAGACTAAACAGATAAACACGCTGCATACTTATATTTGTGATACACTGTAAGTCGCCGGAAAACTGGAAACAAGTAATATTTTCGGATGAAAGTAAATTTTGCATTTTTAGCATAAAACGTCGACAAATTGTGTGGCGCAAGTCAGGAACTGCACTTGAAAACCAAACTCTTGTTGGTACAGTTAAACACGGAAGTGGCGGAATTATAGTGTAGGGTTGAATGGCGGCTGGTGGTGTGGGTCAGCTTGAATTTATTGGAACAAAGTGCAGAGAATCTTGGATTATCTTCGACGTTTTGGTTCCAACAAGATAATGGCCCGAAGCATACTGCGGAAATAGTTAGACTTTGGCTCTTGTACAATGCTCCTAGGCAACTTAAAACGCCCCCTCAATCGCCTGTCCTCAATCCTAATGAGCATCTATGGGATCTGTTGGAAAAAAGAATTCGTCAGCATACAATAACAACTAAAGAGGCTTTGCGAAGTGTTATGAAAGAAGAATGGTCCCAGGTTACAGCTGAGGAAACAGATAAGTTGGTAAGATCCATGTCAAATCGATTGAGCGAGGTGTTAAAACAACGCGGCTAACCAACAAAATATTGAATTTAATTTTTCTTTAACATTTTTACTACTTTTGTATGCTGAACGCAGACTTAATGGTGCCTATGTTTACTTCTCCTTACACTAAAATCACTAAAGAAGAAAATATTTATATATAAAACAAAAAAAATAATAATATTAAAAAAAAAATGTGAACTTTGACAGCTCTCTCGATTCCAAGAGTTTCGTATCATTTTATCCTTGACGCAAACACCCAGACAAAAATAACGGTACTTGATAATTGCATTTAAAGTCGTACCAACGAAAGCGTTCAAGATTTTTTTGGGCTGCTCAATTCTTTTAAATCGTTAACATCAAAATTGATTTATCGTTAAAATTTTTATTAAAAAAAATGCGAAAAAAATACATAAGATTCTCACATTGTAACTATTGGTCGCAGCTTAAAAGATGTAATAGTTCAAGAGAAATCGTTTTAAGTTAAAACTTCTCTAAAGTTTTTCTTTTGGTTTAGTGTATGTATATATGGTACTAAGGACCGATGACTTATGTTTTTTTTTTCTAAATATTTGCATTTAATGTTTAAAAATTTAACAATTTAAAGTATGTAATTAATATAAGGCGCTTACCGCTAAACCTGCTGCTTTCGAGTGTATTAGATACAGCTATGTATGTATGATTCTCGCCTAACGGCACTCTTCTAGTATATTCCAAGGAGCAGCAGCAAAAATTTTGAACACCTTTAGCAATAATCACATTCTAGTTAACCAATTGTGATTGATTTTAACTAAAAAATAACTCAAAATTTCTAGATAAACAATTGATATAGGGTGATCAACAATTTCTCCCACATTATTTGATTCCAGCAGAATTTACAATGTAATGACGCCGATAACAACACGTGTGATAAAAATTTTACAATTACAAAAATTAAATGTTCATTAAATTAAAAGCACAATAACGCAAGGATAAATGTAAAATTGCAGCAAGGTTGCTAACGCACATGCTTTGTTTTTTTTATGTTAGGTTGTAGAGAGTGCAGGGTTGCAAAGAAATGAAACGAAAATAAATAGCACGAGAGCAACTGTCGCAACAGAACCTAACGCTGTGGCCACATATACCAGTTAATTGTTGTCAGTAAGCCGGACGTTACACGATCAAGAAATTGCTTTGAAGTTGCAATACACAGTTTTCTTCTACCATACTCTCACTTTCCGAACTTGAAATCAGTCTTGATCAATTTTCTCATTTAAATCGAGTGGCAAGTTAACGATCAAGTTTGTACAGCTGATCACAAAGTTTTGCAAACAAATGACAAGCAATTGTCGGGAATATGAATATTTCGTTATATTCATGGATTGATATCAACATATGTATATCAATCCTTTATATTATTTATTTCGTGCAACATTTTCAAGAATTTCCATGAAAACGGCATCTTGAAACTTTCATTATACTCTTGCAACATATTGCTACAAAGTATAATGTTGTAATTGTTGTAGCGGCAGATTTCAACCGAATTGACAGTCCTTGGTCGGATTAAATCCGAGTCCGTACCGGTTGCATAGACCTAACGATTGTTTGTGTCACCTAAAACTAATCGAGTTAGATATAGGGATATATATAATATATAAATAATAAGGATGAAAAGACAAGTTAAAATCCGAGTGTCTGTATGTCCATCCGTTCTTGGTACCGTAAGACGGTTGGTAGTGGGTATTGGTATAGATGGGCGTAATCGGACCATTGCCACGCCCACAAAAAGCCATTAATCAAAAACAAATAAATTGCCATAACTAAGCTCCGCAATAACATACAAGACTGTTATTTGGTACACAGCATCACATTAAGGAGGGGCATCTGTAGTTAAATTTTTTTTTTAAAGTGGGCGTGGTCCCGTCTCTAATAGGTTTAATGTGCATATCTCCAAAACTGCTCGAGCTATAATAAAAAAATTCTCTGGAAGCAAATGTTTTTAGCACCTCTACCTACAGTGTGAAAATGGGTGAAATTGGGTGACACCCCCTCCCACTCCCTATATAACGGTACTGTTAAAAAATACTAAAAGCGCGATAAACAAAGCACTAAACAAGTCAGAGACATTAAATTTTATCTATAGGATGGTATAAGATGACTTTATAGGAACCGCGTTCAAAATTAGTCAGTGGGAGTGGCACCGCCCACTTTTAGATGAAAACCCATATCTTGGGATCCGCTTAACCGATTTCAGCCAAATTCGGTACATAACATTATTTTCATATTTCAATGTTCTAGTGCGGAAATGGTACGACTACAACCACACCTATTTCCCATATAACACCATTTTAAATTCCATTTGATTCTTTCACTTTCCAGTATGCAAATCAAGCAACAATGATTGTATCGGGGTAAAACTTTGCGTAAATAATGCGTTTAAAGTATGCCACCTTGTGACCAAAAATTCTCTAAACTGTTCAAGCCCCTAGGTACTGAATATGTGGACCCCAGTGCCTATAGTTGACTTTTTACAGAAAATATCGGTCAATGTATAAGATATATAATTGAAATTCATATAATAATATTCTCGATAATGGTATGTTTTTGTGTCAAAAATGGGTTGAATCGGATCAATACTTCCTATAGCCCTCATATACCTAATATAAAGATTTTTGAATTTCCGGGTGACTTTATACCGCGTATATCGCGCAGTATGTGAGTTATCTCAATGAAAATGAGGAGCGTGTTTTGCTCATAACAGAGTACCTTTATGTGTCTAAAATGGATGAAATCGGATGAAAAGTTTACCTAGCCCCCATGTAACTAATATCAGGACTTTCGAACATTCGTCTGACTTTACTCCATATGATTAGCATCACTAATGCACACAAGTATGTGAGGTGCCTTAATGAAACAGTGGGAGGATTTTATTAGTCTGTGCCATGTTAATGGTATGTGGTATTGGCAAAAATTGATATAATCGGGTTAATACTACCCTCAACTTCCATATACTACCTATAATGCTTTTCGTTATTCTAACCAGTTTTATGCCGAATATGTCGGTCAGTGAGTATTAATATTTTTTTTATATATAAAATTGCTTCAAAATATGTTCTCGAGTATAGCTGAGCAATGTCAAAATTAATATCTTTCTCTATCCCCAATATATATATGATTTCTGTCTTTCCACCTGACTTTAAACCGTTCCGGTTGATCAAAATGTGATATTTTAACGAAATTAAGTGGATAAGATTTCGTAAAAATTATGTGGTTTGACGCTGAATTAGAATGAAATTAGTATATACCTTGGTATAAACCTCACACCTTCATATAATGAACGATTCTCTGTAAGACGTTTAAGCTTATAATATAATTGTTATCCACTTTGGTAGAGTTAATATATATACAATGAAATAAACTAATAATTTCTAAAATACTAGAAGACTCCGACCACGCCTTGCTGTAGCTATGGTATAATTAAATTATATTGAGTAAACTGTTATTATCCAAAATTAGTTTCGGCATTTTTTGCTGTCTATATAGCTCGATTACCGAGCCAGTTATGATTTAAGTAATCATTGCGTCTGGGAAAATACAGCCAATTAATTATATTTGGCATTTCGTATTTGGTTGCAGTTAGTAAATGCTCAAAAATGTCATAAACATTAAAAAAAATTTAATATTTCGATCGCCACCAAACTTTACAGGATCACTTGCTAGGCTATCTTGAAGATCGGCCAAAAATTTCATTTCAATCGGTCTATCCGTTTCGGAGTTTATAATATATTAAAATACTCCTGTATATTATTAAATATTTTATTATATCATCAATACTTAGGAAGCGTTTCTCTTATACTCATAAATCCACTAAGACCTCATAAGTCAAAAAAGTTTCAGGTGACGAGTTACGTCAATATAAAATATTCAATAAAAACCTTCTCCATGAAAAAATACATATACCTACCAATTTTCATAATAATCGGTCAAATAGTTTCTGAGTCTATCGATTTCATAATATACACGTCCTTCTTTATATATATAGATAAATACAACTAAATATAATATTATGTATTAATATGTTATTGAATATCTAAGTAATGTATAGGTATACAAAAGTACGTAAGATGTGTGTATAAAAATATACCATAACAAACTATTATACTCTGTAGCAACATGTTGCGGGAGTATAAAAATATCAGTAAAATGTGTTTTTAGTTTCAGTTACACTAGATTTCTTGACCAGCAATATGCTTTTTTCAAACAAATTCAAATTTCAATGTATTAGTTATATAGTGTTTAAACTATTATTATACATACTTGTACATATGTGCTAACATTTACACTAGTATATTCAACCAAAGTACCTATACACCGAACAGGAAAGGGGTCATAGCAAGGATTCAATTACAGTGAAAGAGAGCAGCACCTAGGATTCAACTTTTCACCTCCGGACGGACCGAATTATATAAGTATTATCTACTTGTATAAATATTTTATACAATAAGCCATTTATTATTAATTAATTATGCCTAGATTAAGTAAAAAAGTCGTCTTCAGAATCGAAGACGTATGAGAGTTCTTCGTGCAAACTCTTTATATAGAGATAGTGAGCAGTCACAAAATACTGTAAGTCACGCTAATCGTAGGTTAGATTATGATGTACGTCTTTCCGAGCAAATAATCAATACAAATCAACATAGAACCAGGCGGGAAAATCTCGAGGTACGGTCTTTTGAACAAAATTTAAATACTGTTCAACATAGGGCAAGACGTCAAAATCCCCAAATCCGCTCTGAAGAGCAAAGCAGAAATACTCGGGGACATAGATTTCGGCGCGAAAATCTCGAGGTACGTTATGATGAGCAAAGTAGGAACACTAAGGATCATAGAGAACTTCGCGCAAGAAATCGTGAGTATAGGACTTTAGAGCGCATTCGTGATTAAATGCAAAGGGAACATGCAAGAAGAAATCCTGAAATAAGGAGAGAGGAGCGTGATAGAGAAACACAACGTCAACAGCTTAGTAGGAGTGGTATGAGGGAAGAAATTTTGAATCAGAGACGTCTTAGACAAGGTGAAGTTCGCCTTCGTAGAGATAACCCACTCAATAGGCAAATTGAAAACCAAAGGCAGTCCAAACGAATCCGAGAGAAAATAATGTTATAGAAACTGATAATAGTGGCAATTTAACAGATTTCAAAAACATTTATTTCCAAAATACAAATTAGGGCCCTACTGAAATATGTATTTGCTGCGGCGGATTATAGTTTTCACACCAAGCTCGCAAATTAAATTTCGAAACTATTGCGCAAGGTCACCCGAATGCTGCATCCGCCTTCTTTTTAATGCAAAAATTTCCTTCAGAAGATGGAAAATGCAATTTTTGTGCTATTTGCAAAAATGCGATTGTTAAAAAGAACGTTCCAAAAATATGTTTAGCTAACGGTCTAGACTTTCCTGAAATACCGGATTGTTGGAAAGGTTTAACCCCAATTGAAGAACGTCTCATAATGCCTAGATTGCCTTTTACGCGAATCCGTCCGTTAGGATATCAAAGTCAGAGTTTGCTCAATGGTGCTGTTGTTAATATACCAATTTCTGTTAACAACATTGGGACATCTCTACCAAGGTCCTTTGATGAGGCTTATATTATATAAATTCACTTAAGAAGGCGTTTGGAATTAAATCATGATTACATGATCGATACCATACGCTCCGTAAAGATTATGGAAGCTTTGCAGTTCTTAGTGAATACCCCTCTGTATCGTGAGCACAATACACATATTAATGAAAACTGGATTTCAGAATTTAATAACCAAGAAGAAGTTCCGTTGGATGCATCTGCAGAGGATTCCCGATTGTTTCAATCTTTTCATGCGGCACAAACTTCTCATGATAATCCCTCAGGTAATAATATTCCCACGGGTCTTTTACCTTCAGAGCTAAATCCAGGCGGTCAAGAAAATCTTTTGGACAATATTCCTGTAGAAAACTTAGACTATAACGTTTAGTTTTAGCGGACAATGACCAATTGACAAAATTCAAGATAAAAATTCAGAAGAGTTGTCATTTGGAACAATAAACGTTGGGCAGAAGCGTACATGCTCTGAAATATATAGTAAGATAATACGTTCTGAAATTCGCCGTTTTGACAGAAGAGCGTGTACCATTCCAAAGTTGTTCTATGATTACAAAAAATTAGAACTGCTACAAATGAAGAATAGTACATCCATTTGCCTTAGAAAGTTTTCGGGTCGCAACCGAGTTAGGGCCCAAAATCTATTAAACAACAAATCTATTGGTTACAAGGTTT